GAGTTTCTGCTTTTCATAAAGAATATGTAAACCAGGTAAACTCCAGAGATGAAGTGCTATCTAATGTTTTTCAAGCTTGTAATTTCCTTGCAAAGAACGAAATTTCAAACAGGAAGTTTATCTCCTTTCTTGAATTTCTTGAGCAAGTGGGACTAAAGGATATCCAGTATTTTAAGCATCGCTCTGAGTTTTCAGTTAGAGAGATATATCTGACCATTGGCCAGATAATTAAAGAGATGATACTTGAACAAGTCCGAGAAGCAGGAATTTATGGCCTTTTCGCAGATGATGCCACTGACATCGCAGTAATGGAACAAATGGTCACTGAGTAGAGATTTACCTAGTGGATGGTTCTCATTTGTAAGTTACATTGATCCTTTAACTTCACAGCGGGAAGTTAAATTCCTCTTTATAGAAGATTTTCTCGATGACCCAGAAGCAGATGGTGCTAATGCAGGTGTGCTTCTTAAAGTTCTATTAACACAAGTAGAAGAGTGAACTTAAAATTGAAAACTTGATGAGCCTAGCAAGTGATGGAGCTTCTGTCAAGACAGGCCAAAGGAATGGATTAGCTGCAAAGCTTAAGTCTATGAACAGCAAGATCATTTCATTCCACTACATTTGTCATCGACTGGCCTTGTCCTGTGTTGATTCCAATGATGAAAGAAGCTATGTTTCAGTGGTCGAAACCATTTTACGGCAATTGAAATTTTTTGAAATTATAATTCCCCGAAAAAGACCTCCAAGTACCTCAAGATTCAACTTGCCTACAAGTCTCTCACTCAAGTGACTGGTTCAGCCAAGAAGATTGTGCTTCAAAAAGTGCGCACATCGTGCAGAACCCAATGGTTGTCTCTGGTCCACTAAGTTGAAGAGTCTGCCTCGACTTTGTGCCCCTTATGCAGACACTACAGCATTTTTCAGAGGCAGATGCTGTTGCTGCTGGCTTGTTATCTAAGATGAGAACCCCCACATTTATTAGTGCCATTTATACCCTAAATCAAGTTCTCCCTGCCCTAAGCAAGACATTCCAGAAAGGAACTGTCAATTTTCATAGAATTAAGCAAGCCATAAAGGCAACCCAGAGTGCCTTGGATAGAGTTGTAGAGGATAACACCATTGTCATACATATGCAAGCAGACCTTGCAGAAGATGGTACACTCTCCCTATGCAGCCTGAACCCAATCCCATACCAGTACAAGGAAGTAACCAGCTTGCTCTCCAAATATGTTGTCCCTGAAGAAAAACATTAACCACCAGTTTCAAGAAGCATTACCTGTGGTCTCAAGCTTTTCTATCTTCGATCCACTGGCTGTGCCACCACCAGATGATACTAGCTTCAGATGCTATAGATCAAGTCAAGTTAAAATTCTGGCAGCCCATTATTATTCAACACAACCTGACAAGGAGAAGCTTCATGCTGAGTGAAATAACTTCAAATTTGAGGTGGTAAAATGAAAATCAAACGAGGAGTTCGAAACAGCGACGACAACAAATGACTCCTACTGAATGGGTGCTGCACCGCCTCATTGCTAGGAAGGAGACCTACTCACAAGTGTATCCCATGCTCTACAAAATCGCCCAACTTTGCACCATGATGCCAGTATCCAATGCTTATCCAGAAAGAGGAGTGAGCACTTTGTGGAGGGTGAAGACATGCGTACGAAGTCACATGGAAAATGATCTTCTTGAGGCTTTGATGCATGTTTTCATCAATGGCCCAGCTGTCTCATCCAAAGAGGGAAGCAAGATCATTGACAGAGCTGTGAAACAATGGAGTCAGGTCAGGAGAAGGAAGCTACCCAATGTGCTGTGTGCTACATGTATGAATGTTTCAAGCAAGACATCAACATCTGATGCACAGGTACATTGAATATTTTTATGTGTATGAAAGCAAGTAACTGGAGTCTTAACTGGAGTGTTCATTTATATCTTTCGTACAAAGTTAACTCCAACTAATCTGTTAACTTGGATAATGGGTATTTGTTAATTGGCAATTTCTCTTATGTACAGGTACAAACCGGTGAGCAAGATGATGTGGCTCACAGTTCTGATGATGAGGCAAAAGGTCCCGAGGCTGAAGAGCTATCAGAGACTGCCAGGACATTGTTTTCGCTTATTTTTTCAGACTTAGTGGACATTTCAAGTCGACAACGTTTGATTATTGATAATGTTAGGGAATAAGGTGTTAGGATTGATCATGTTGGAATATTTGATTGGAAAGAGAAAACTGTGATTATGTTCAAAATATGTTATACAGATACTAAGGAAATTATTCAGTAGAAGTTAGAGCAGCATTGGAAGTTTTTTTTCTTGACAACATTAAAAAAAAATAGATTCATATCAATAGAAACAACACAACAGTGTTTATGAAAAGAGAAAAATACATGATTCAATCAATTTATTACTAAAAAAGAATAATATAAGAATAGTAGCGAATAATGTGTTATGATTGATCATGTTGGAATAATTGAATGGAAATTGAAAACAGTGATTATCATGTTACACTGAGAAAATTGTTTTTTAGAAGTTAGGACATCACTGGCAGTTTTTTTTTCTTGAAAACATTAACAAAGAATAAATTGATATTAATAGAAATGTATACATGTTTAACCAGTGTTTAAGAGAATAAATATATGTAAAATATATGTTTACAATCAATATTTATTTCATCATTGGCTTAAATGTGTGAGCATCACACAAATACAAGAAACTCACAACATTTTGTAAGGATCATTGACACTGACAACAGTATCCACAATTTGCTGGAAAGGGTGCACTGAGAGCTGTCCAAACATCCTTCAATTTGCTGAAAATCCAGGAGCTCCCGGGGGCTTTCCCCCCTGGCCCCCCACCGAGGCACTGCCCCTGGACCCCGGAGGGGGCCTACACAGCCCCCACACCCTCGGCATGTGTGCAGGTAACAAAGTTACCTGCTATGAGAACTTTGTTACCCCCTATCAAAAAAATTAACAAGAACCCTGTAGGTCATTCTTCTTTTTCAGGGAATGCTTGCAGGGATAAGGTGCCTCGTTTCCTGAAAGTAAAATTTGAAAGTCTCAGTGATGCAGAGGATGCGTTTAACATCAATTATTTTGATGAGTGTCCTGTGATGCAAGAATTCCGAAGTACCACCACAAGTACACCAATACCTCGAAGTGTTGAGGTTCCACATTCAGTTGAATCTCCCCTGTTGTCATTGCAGGCCTTACGAAATTCAGATAACAGAAAACTACCTGGATCTATACTTGATGTAGTGAGTTCCAATTTTTTTAGAACCAACCAAGAGGCAGCGCCAGCAGCTCATGGTATATTTGTTCAAGACATGGCTCTTAGCAGATTTTCATTCTACTATGTCAAGTTCCTTTGTTCCATCTGATTTCCTCCCTCACCTTTACAATGCCTTACAAGTGTTATTTGTAAATGGAAAGAACAAGAACATATATGATGCTGTATGCTGCCATGGTGACATGCGGCCAGAGGGAACTCCTTGAATGCCTCTTGATAGAATACTTTTTGGTCTAATCCACCAGAATCTAAGATTTTTTGCTTCTGAAAATGTCGTGAATTTAGAGGCTGCCAAGGATTAAAAATCCTGGTATCAATCAATGTACACCCTATTAATTTTGGTAACAAGTGGGTTGCGATGCACAATGGACCTATGTGGTCATATGTGGACAAAGACGTTGACACACCCAGAAATTTCAAATGTACACACATGTAGGTACCTCCCGTCCCACTGATATATTAACAGAAGCTTTGCAACAGACTTTTGGAAGTGACAGTAGTGTGCTTACAGAGGAATGCAGCTCTTTACCACGGTCTCCCACAACAGATTTGCCTACTAACACTGCTGTTGTAGTATCTCCCTCTGAGGTTGCAGAAGGTGTACAAAATCTATCAGTGGAAAGTGAAGAACCATTGGCCTCAGTTACTTCAAGGAATTCAGTCTCCTGCCTGTGGATGTCTTAAGTGAAGCAGACATATCAGAACGCCAGGAATCTTCCTTAACATTATCAGAGCTGGAAGCTATCCATGGAATTCATTCTAGAAATGTATCAAGCACTTCAAACAGGGACAGAAATCCTCTGAATGTAAGAATTCTGTTATTGTTGACTTGGCATGTTACCCGGAACTGCATTGCATACTTTCTACTGGGACCGTTCTTTTTTTGTTAGTTTCTGAATTATTAAATTTAGGTTGTTAAGAGACTACTATTCTCGCCATTAACCACATCACAAAAACAACAATTACAGAAATTTATAACACATTGAAGACAATATACACTATTCTAACTAAATTATCTAAGTCATATAACAACTGTAACAATATCTTCCCCTGGTGGTCTTTCTGTAAGAAATATTCCGAAAGTTACTGAAATTTTTATAAGTTCTTTATCCGCTGGGAGTAAGCACAGGTTGTATATCAAAAGTAAATTTAATTTTCTTCCATTTATCATTTATTTATTGATGCCCTTTTCTCTCCTGCTCATGAGTAATGCAGCGAAAGAGTATTTGACAGTACCCTAAACCCAGGTATTTGATTACTCGTGGACAATAAGAGAAATCTGGTTGATTTTTTGTGATATTTAGGCCAAGGTCAACATTGCTGGTCCCTCCACAAGGACTGCCTGAAGAATGGTTGAGAAGAGTAGTTATTCAAAGGGCTGCGAGATTCAGGTAAACGGTTATTATTGTTCAATGAAACATCAGCAGAACGTTTTCACAATAATATTTAATTGAATACTTTGTTTTTCATTTAAGCCACTAACCCCGAATAGGAACTCAATTTTCTAAAGTGGTCGATGACTCCAGTATGAACCAATACGAAGACATAATAGTTAATTTGTAAATTCAGTTGGTAATAGTACTGATGTTTATTACAGGTATCAGCTTTAAAGCAGTTGCACCAAAAACACACCACTACTCGGTGGCCCAAGGCTGATGGAACAGATATACAAGTTGGGCTTCATGAGTCTATAACTAATGACAGGTCTGGTGATGTGATGACAGTCAAGCAAAGGTTTCTTGCAACCATAGGGGGTGACCTACAGAAACTTCTTGATAAGATGCCAGAGGAGAAATTGTTTTTGACTGAAGGCCTTACAAAGGCTAAACATCTGTACGAGTCCAAAAGAGGAGCATTAAATGTGTTAGAAAATTCGCTCTTTGTTCTTGCCTGGAATGTTGAGGGATATTACAAATTGGTGGAAAAAAATGAAACAATCCAGATAACTATTCATGGAATCTTGTAAAGAATAAGTGGTCCACCAAATGAGTGAGGCAAAATTCAAGCTGAAATGGCAAACCTGAAGAAAGAAATTGAGCCTTAC